CCCCAGAATCTTCACTCTTTATTATCATTATATATTTACAGCCATCTTTCAGCAAAAATACGCTGAGAACTGGAGAATCTTATTAGTAAGAGGGTCATTTACTTTTAGATAATATTGAAACTCAAACACTCACAATGTTGACAGAAGCATTATTTAAAATGCAGAGGGTGGGGTAGATAAACAGAACTTGACAGAACTAAGGGGAATTCAGCAACATGTGCTGGTCTTTATTTATTGAAATATTTTTCATGTTGTGAAGTCATGTCTTTTGAATTCAATGAGAGCAGATGGCCTGACATCCAAAGGAAATCACAAAAGATGTATAGAGTTCATGTTTTCAGAGAACCAGAGGGCAAGTGTTTAATCACATTTTAGTCTAGTAATGTTGATATTAAAAAATAGGAAAGGAATAAGCAAGAAAAAACATACATGTAAGCAACATTGTAAATCAATGATGCTTCATCAAAAAAAATTTAAAAAAGAAGAAGACTCATACATGCAATTGACTATGGCCTCACACACACATTCAAGATGACAGACACTGAGGACTTCCCTGGCAGTCTGGTGGTTAAGACTATGCCTTCCAATGGAAGGGGTGAGGGCTCGGACCCTGGTCAGAGAGATAAGACCCCACATGCCACACAGCCAAAAACCCAAAACATAAAACAGAAATAGTATTGTAGGAAATTCAATAAAGACCTTAAAAGTTGTCCCCATTATAAAGAAAAAAAAAATTTTTTTTTTTAAATTATAAGGGGCTTCCCTGGTGGTCCTGCAGTTAAGGCTCTGCACCCCCAATGCAGGGCGCCCGAGTTCAGTCCCTGGTCAGGGAACCAGACGCCACCTGCAGCAACTTAAGCTCCCACATGTGTGCTCGGTCGTTCAGTCGTGTCTGACTCTTCGTGATGCCATGAACTATAACCCGCCAGGTTCCTCTGTCCATGGAATTTTCCAAGCAAGAATACTACAGTGGGCTGCCATTTCCTACTCCAGGAGATCTTCCTGACCCAGGCATCGAACCCACATCTCTTGCGCCTCTTACACTGGCAGGCAGATTCTTTACCACTGAGACACCTGGGAAGCCTCACACGCCTCAACAAAAATAAATAAATAAATACATAAGCAGCTATCATTAAAAAAAAAAAAAGATTTCTACCACTGAAGCTGATGTAGTCAGGAAGCCAGTAAGTGAAGACCACATATTTCCAGGTCTTATTCTTATTGTTGTTCAGTCACTCAGTCATGTCCAACTCTTTGTGACCCTACGAACCATAGCCCACCAGGCTCCTCTGTCCATGGCATTCTGCAGGCAAGAGTACTAGAGTGGGTTGCCATTTCCTTCTCCAGGGGATCTTCCCAACCAAAAGATCAAACCCATGTCTTCTGCATTGACAGACAGATGTGCAATTTGCAGGTTGCAAATGAGAAGGCCAAAGAGGGGAGGTTTGCTTACCCTTCACACCAACCATCGATCATGCGTGTAAGTTCAGCGATTGCTCTTCCCTCACATGCATTGTTCAGCTAACAGCTCCAACCCTGTGATTGTATTTAAGCTCAAGTCTCTCCATTTGTTAAAGACAAGAACAGCAAAGGGCAAGTGTGGTTTTGAAATTCCCTGGAGGTTACGCAGGAACCTGATAAATCCGTGCTTTGGAACAGAGGGGCGGAATGGCTGAGCAGGTGTGGGAAAGCAGGGTCTCACTCTCTTATCACTGTGTACCTCTGGGGCCATGCGACTGTGTTGCTGATTCAAAACCTGCATATAAACATTTTTATATGCAGATTCCTGGACCTCACCCCAGACCTACTGAAATGGCATCTCTAAAGGAAGGCCCTGGAATCTTCATTTTAACAAGCTCACGGGTGAGTCTGACACATAAGTAAATAGGCAACAAAGTGTTGCAAATATAAACACAGATGGCGGGCACACCCCACCTTTCTGGCTGTCATTTTCACAGGGTCATCTCATAGACAAGTATTTCTCAGCCTGGGCTCTCTCTCCTGGGATACACAACTGCTTCTCCTGGCCCTCTGAGCATCACACCTGGACCTCTTATGGAAAAATCCACATCCACAGCCATAACCATTAGCTGTGTGCCAGGCACTTATCTGCGTATTTCACAAACATAAGCTCATTCAATACTCACAATTACCCTATTTTATCAAACCAGTCGATCCTAAAGGAAATCAGTCTTGAATATTCATTGGAAGGACTGATGCTGAAGCTGAAACTGCAATACTTTGGCCACCTGATGTGAACAGCTGACTCATTGGAAAAGACCCTGATGCTGGGAAAGATTGAAGGCAGGAGGAGAAGGGGACGACAGAGGATGAGATGGTTGGATGGCATCACCGACTTGAAGGACATGAATTTGAGCAAGCTCTGGGAGTTGGTGATGGACAGGGAGGCCTGGAGTGCTGCAGTCCTTGGGGTCACAAAGAGTCAGACACGACTGAGCGACTAAATGGAACAACTCTATTTTAAGCCTGAGGGGACCATGTAGGCTTGCTATGCCAAATTGATCAGTTGTGTCTGACTCTTTGTGACTCCAGGGACTGTAGCCCGCCAGGCTCCTCTGTACAAGAAATTTTCCAGGCAAGAATACTGCAGCATTTTTCCATTTCCTTCTTCAGGGGACCTTCCTGACCCAGAGATAGAACCTGTATCGCCTACATCTCCTGCATTGGCAGGTGGATTCTTCACCACTGAGTCACCTAGGAAGTTCCTGAGGGAAGTGAGATACCTAAAAGTTAAATTACTTTATTCAGGTTGCACCGCTATTATATGGTAGAACGAAGATTCTTACCTAGACAGGCTAAGTCTAGAGCTTCTGAATGATGGTGTTATGGTATGTCTCAGCCTTAGGTTAAGAATTATCAGCAAAACTTCAGTCACTTTCTGGTCAAAATCTTTCGGTGTTTCGTCACTGAATCCTGAAACGTCTAAAAAATTGCAGTTGGGAACTTAAAGCTGGAATTTGATCTTATTTCTACTTAATATTTCAGCCACTATCTCCCATTATTCTCTTCCACACAGGGTAAGTATTCCAAACAAAAAATCTTTGACTATTTACTGGTTTCAAGATTATAATTTAGGTGTAAGTATATAGTAGGTGTGGGAAAAGTAAAAATTCAAACTAGAGGGACAGAAACTGCATTTATCCTCTCAACTGAAACAACTAGTCAACCAGAAATGTATGTACGACGTGACAATTTTTCAAGGCCTCAGACATCAGACGCCGAGGGACAGTGGCAGACGACATTGAGGGGTGCGTCCTGTGGCCACTGCAGCCTACCTCCTGGAGAAAGTTCCCGAGCTGAGTCAGAGAGGGGACCAAGCCAGGCGGAGTCTGGAGACCTCTGTGAGTTGAGGCGACAAGGCCGGGGAAGGCTGAAAGGACCGAGGCTGCTCAGAATAGTGTCCGCTCAGCTACAGGGCAGATCCAGCAGTCCCCACCTAAGTGTAACTGCAGGCCTCATAAAGAGACGGGAGAAGGAGGACAGTTTTCAAAAACTGAGCAAGTAATAGCCAAAAAGCTTTCCAAATGTAATCAAAATTACACACACACACATCCAAGAAGTTTAACAAGCCCCAAGCAGTTCACACATGGAAAGATCTACACAGAGACACGTCAAAATCAAATCGCCCAAAACCAGGGAGAAAGAGAAATTCGTAAAAGGCAGAGAAAAGAGACATACTATGCCTGGAGAAACAAAGATGAGGACGATAATAGATTACTCACCGAAAGCAATGTCAGAAGACAATGGAACAGTATCTCTAAAGTAATGAAAGAGAAAACTATTTAAATCTCTTAAAAACAGAAGACTGTTTAAAACAAAAGATAATAAAATGGTTTGAGGGAGTTATAATGAATGCATAAATAAAACATCTTTTAATAGTAGCACAAAGTTGAAAGGCAATAAGTGGAAATTTACAGTTATAAGATTCTTACCCTATTAATGAGGATTGTTACAAGTTTAAACTACATTATAAGACATAAATCAACCACCCCAACAAATCACAACAGCACATTAGTTATTGTTAATAAGTCAAAAAGGAGATAATATGGAATCACCAAAAACACAAAATTGACCCAAAAGAAGGCAGGAAATGAGAGAAAAGAAAACAAGGAACAGATAAGACAAATACAAAACAAATTAGATAGCAGATTTAAACACAATCATAAACTACTTTAAACATACATGGCCTAAATACATCAATTAAATGCAGTAGTTGTCAAAAGAGACCCAAAAAAAGCAAGTTCTCACTATACGCTGCCTTCAACAAACTCACCTTCAATATAAAACATAAGTAGGTTAAAAGTAAACGGATGAGAAAGATACTGTGCTGATTCTTCAAAAGAAGGATAGCACGGCTACACTGGGCTTCCCAGGCGGCTCACTGGTAAAGAGCCAGCTGCCAACGCAGGGGACCTGGCTTCCTTCCCTGCTCCCAGAAGATCCCCTGGAGAAGGAAACGGCAGCCCACTCCAGTATCCTCGCCCGGAGAATCCCAGGGACAGAGGAGTCTGGAGGGCTACAGTCCATGCGGTCGCAAAGAGTCGGACAGGCCTTAGTGACTGTGCACGCACACACACACACACATGCTACAGTAATATCAAACAAGGAAAATTATGATAAATTTTATTTTTTTAAGTCATTTCATATTTGATGAAAACTAGACAAATTCACATATCCAAGTTCAACACACATACCCCTAAGTTCAACAACCCCAAACAAAAGAAAAGTGAGGGACTCGCCGGGTGTCACTAAGAACCCGCTTGCCAGAGGAGGGGAGGTGGGTTCAAGCCCCGGTCAGGGAAGATCCCGCGTGCCGCAGGACAACCAAAGCTGTGCATCTCTGCCACCGTGCTCACCCTCCAGCGCCTCATCTCTGGAGCCTGCATGCTGCAGCCACAGACGCCCCCCGGGCCCGGAACCCGAGCTCCGCAGCTGGAGAAACCACCGCCCTGAAAAGCCCACCGAGGCGACGAGGAGGCGGCCCCGCCCGACAGCAGCTGGAAAAAGCGGGCTTGCGGGAAGGAAGACCCAAGACAACCACAGATAAAATGAATGAATGGATGAACGAATTTCAGAAAAAGAAACATGGGAAGACTACACAAAGCCTCAGAAAAATCAAGCTGCCTGTGACCAGTGGCAAAGAGGAATTCTTCATTTAACAGCAGAATGAGCAAACACACACGCTGTCCAATTCTCTTAGAAGCAGAGACGCGGAGGCCCCGATGGTTCAGGGCTGGAGCATATGCAGAAGGAAGGCCGGCGTCAGGACAGGAAGTCCAGCGTCGAGAGCCTTCATCCTGAATCGGGGCAGGAGCTGTTCAGTTCCTCCCAAGGACGTGGCAGGGGAAACGGGAAAGGAGAAAGACCTTCCTGGCAGCAGGCAGTAGGACAGGGTAGGGGGACAGAATAATCGGCAGGTGTTCGCAGTAGCTGGGAGCAGGGGAGAGCGTAAGGCAGGTGGGGATGGCAATAAAGGCAGGTGAGTGGTAAAAAGATCAGGCAAAAACAATAAACTGTTATAATATATTATAATACTCCAGAAATAATGAGCCCCATACCTACTCAGGTGTCATCTAACTTCTCAATGGCACAGGGAACATCGAGAGGGCAGGGAATGTCTTCCATCTTTCTCTCGCCAGCATTGAGCTCGCCACACTGATTTTTAGGACAGATAAATTAATGGATCTGATCAAGACTTTAGACTTGTATTTTTATTTACTTGTTTAGGTCAGGGACTCTAATATTTATAATTCCAGAGACTTCTCATTTGTAAGTTTTGAGGAGAAATAATATGCTCCATCTAATGCTAGTCAGGTCTTAAACATATAATCAAAGATATTGCATATTTAACTACAATAAAATCTCAAATTATACTGGCCTGGCTCAAGAACAAAGCCATGTCTTTTTTTTTTTTCCTCTGTACCAGGTTTTAGTTGCACCATGTGGGGTCTAGTTTCCTGACCAAGGGTCAAACCCAGATCCCCTCACACTGGGAGCTCAGAATCTTACCTACTGAGCCAACAGGCAAGTCCCTGGTACATGACTTTTGAAAATGGTGTCATAATTAGATCATTTCCCTGAGAAATATCACAGCCCCTAGGACCCAGGAAAACACATACACCTTATTTAGGGCAAAGAATGGAGGGAACCCACTCTAGGATTCTTTCCTGGAGAATCCCACAGACAGAGGAGTCTGCGGCAAAGAGTCAGACACAACTGAAGTGACTTCACACGCACAAGGATATTTTTATGGGCTTCCCTGGGGGCTCAGACGGAGACTATATGACAGAATGGAAAAAGTCAAGCTTTGGGATGATGAAACCTGGCCCTGTGAGTTAATAGCCAGGTGGCCTCAGTTACTCTGAGACACTTGGTTTCCATATCTATAAGATGGGGATGTGTTAGACACTTACGTGACTCCGTATACTCTCTTTCCCACCCCTTACTCCGTCACTGCTGGAGAAAATAGCTGGGCTCAGCGCCCACCAGCTTTGAGGGAGACAAGGGCAGCCACTCAGGACAGACTTGGGTCAGGGTGTCCTTGGCATCTCTGCAGATGGTACCCACAGGACACACTCAGGCAGGTATAAGTGGGAGGAGCGTGGCAGTGACCAGCCCTGACTGATGGGAGGATGGAAGCTGATGGACAAACATTCCTCTCTTTTGCTCCCCAAGTAGACAGATCTTGGCTGCATTTCCCGAGCCTTTTCAAAAGGCTCCGTGGAATCACACCCAGATGACCTTATACTGATTCTCCCTCCTTCCGTGTTTCCCTCCCCAATCCTTTCCACTTTTAAAGTACCCCAGGCTAAGGCAGAAGATAAGAAAGAATTCTTCTAACCTCCCAGGGTAGGTAAGGATAAAGTCTGTGCATGAAGAGGACTTAGAGCATTCCACGCATTGTTTTAAGTGCTTTGTATACATTAACATCTGTAAACCTTCCAACAACCCTATGAGGTGTGTGCTATCATTCTCTCCTTTTCCTGGAGGAGAATAGCACAGAGAGGTTAAGGATCTTATCCAAGATCACACAGATCTCCAGAGGCTAAAGCATTGCAGCAGATACCGGATGTGTGTGTGCCTGCTCAGTCATGTCTGACTCTGTGCGCCTCCATGGACTGTAGCCCACCAGGCTCCTCTGTCCATGGAATGTTCCAGGTAAGAATACTGGTGTGAGTTGAAATTTCCTCCTCCCGGGAATCTTCCCGACCCAGGGCTCGAACCCTAGTTTCTTGGTCTCATGTGTTGGCAGGCAGTTCTTTACCCAAGTTCCCACGTGGGAAGACCAGGTGCCAGATACAAGTGGTTTAACATTTTCAGACTTAACACAGGCTTTGAAGGTTGAAAAATAAGGAGGAGCCTGAAGGAATACAGAGCTCTTGGGAATATAAATCTGCTTCTACCATAAACTGGTGTTGGAGTCCACTTTGATGGCTAAGAGATGAGACAGACGAACAGCCGGACTCTGCTCTGTACACGTAGGCAGACAGCAGCTCACCATCCCTACTGGCAAATAAAAAAGTGTTAGGAAGACTAAATTGATTTAGAGGCTGACTTTCCTGATTAAATTCCACTTATCCTATTGACTTTAAGCATAGCCTTTTGCTTTCGATGTAGATTTTTCCCATTATCTATTCCCCCAGGCAACTCCCACGAACAGATGTCTATCTAGCGCCTATATACTAGAGCTGGAGGTCCAAAATCCCCTTATCAAAGGGGATTGCAGCCTGCCTCCCCACCCCCCCTACCCCTCCCAGTTTAAAGGCAACTGATATCTAGGTACAAGAAATAAAGATAGAGCCCGGCAAGTAAAACCTGCAGCCCCCAGATCCTGGCTGCGTAAGCCAGACACTGCTCTCCTGACATGAAATCAAGATAAGAAAAGCTGCCAGGGTAAGCAGCAGTCACATCTGCAATTCCCTCCAGAACCCTGGCCAGTGGTCACTTAGTATCCAGTGTCTAAACCTTGGCTGTTCCAAACCCGAGAAGTGGAAACACAGTTCCTGTTGTTCAGTCGCTAAATTGTGCCCAGCTCTTTGCCACCCCATGGACTGCATGCAGCAGCCACGCTCCTCCTCGGTCCTTGACCATCTCCCCGAGTTTGCTCAAACTCATGTTCCAAACCCAGGAGGTGAAAACACAGTAGCTGTTCCAGAATCAGCCTTTAGCATCAGTCGCCTTTCAATCCCGGAACCTAAACATCCAACTATCATTTTACCATTTCCAGGCTCGGTGAAACTGAGCCCTCCGGGGGTTTCCTAATCTGAGCTGGCACTCAGGTGCAGCCAGAGCAGCAGACCTCTCTCAGCTCTGGGACCCGCAAAAGGTTTGTTTTTCTTCTTCTTCTTCTTCTTCTTTTTCACACGTGAAAAAGGAAAGACATGGCATTTCCTCTTATGAGAGCAAATCAGAAAAGCGAAAATTCGATTTCAAGATAGGCCTTTAAAGTTATCACCCAAGACCATAAAAATTTAACACTGGATAAAGAAAAACAGACTCATAGAAGACGTGGAGTCAGCCATGAGTTTATAGGATTTCTCAGGTTAAAACGCTGCTTTTGATTTGTAAAGAGAGAAATCCTATAAAATACTTGGCATCCAGAGACAAGGAAATAGCAAGGGTTTCCTCACTATAAATAAGACTGTTTTTATTTTTCCAAAGGCTGGCTGTCCTAATATATCCTGGGGAAGTCACAGGCCATTGGGTCCCTGCTGGGCCACCACCCCAGCCCTGACTTCAGGAGATGAAGCCTCACAGACACTGGGAGGTTTGGAAGAAACATGCAAATCTAAACAAAGTAAACTGAAAAGAAAATTAAATTTCTTAGGACTGCATTTTCTTCTTTAAAACTGTGCCAATTTTATGAGCAGGGGAAAAAATCTAAATATTATAATGGAAGAAGATCCAAGGAGGCAGATGAATCCACCTGGTGAAGAACTACTGGCCTCTTAACAGAAAAGCAGTTTTCCAAATGCAGCCCAGTGGATCTGGTCATGACCTCCACGTTACTTTTAAGTTCGTCTTCATAGAAAAGTGATCACAATTTCAACTTGAATGTTTTTTGCAGCTGCTATTGCTTGCTGTTTCCTGAAATCTGGAATTTTACTTTTTGGGAAGAGATAATTTCTGAAGGATTTTTTTCAGACGTTTATAGTATATTCCCCTTGGAAATGGCTTTTTTGAGCCTATAAAATATGACCAGATGACTCAGAAGTGACGCTACAAGTGTACGTGTGTCCCTGGCAAAAATACATACCTTAAAATTTGAGAGACTTACAGAGTCTACATTTGCAGCAAGTACATTTTAAAACCTGCCATGACTACCGGTAAAAATCTGAGAAAAGCTTTGCTCTTTATTTACAGACTCCACTTTTGGAAAAAGTGAAATCGAATAAATCAGCCAAACAAAAATTCCTATACAGTTTGCCTGATACTCTACATATAGCTAAAAGAAGAAAACATCTTAAATGACATTCTTTTAGTGGACCAGTCTAATTATTTTCACCACCCCGTTACTATTTTAATTTAATTCATGGTGAAAATCAACTCACAACACAAAAAGGTTATTCACCCACTAGGTCTGAACTTTTCAAATATCAGTAACATGTCATTCCTCTTAGTAAAACAATTATTTTGAAAATGCTCTAAACTTTATTTAAGTGAAGGCAATGAAATTTGCATTCAGTGATCCTCAGGTATTGCTCTAAAACTAAAACAGGGAAAATGCAATAAAATGATGGCTCTTCCATAAAATAATCCCCATTGAGAACCAGAGACTTTGTCCTGGCCCCAATTTAAGAAGTTATTTGGTAAAATTAGTAAATACATTTTCAAGTAATGAATTATGTTTTATACCCCTCAAAAAAAAATAGTCTCCTTTGAAAATGTAACACATTCAAAACCCATGTTACTTTTGCCAAGAAAAATAGGTAATTATGAGCATTCTCGAGAAATATGTATGATATCTGCTTCAATCAAAGTCACTTAAACCTAGGCAAGCTTTGCCTTTGCCTATAAAAACCAAGCTGGCGCTAAATACTGGGAATGATGATGGAGAAGCAGTTCAACACAAATATTAAGTTACCCAGGGATCCTAATTCCTGACCCTTCTTTATAAAGGTCATGCATGTGATTTAAAAAATTAAGAAAAGATTTTCTGTTCTACCTAAACTCTAGCTTTAAAGAATCATAAAAATAAAAGAGTAATTAAAATAACTGGTATCAAAAATGTTCAGATTCAAATTCTGCCTCCATTTAGGAGCATAATTAATTATTAGCTTAGAAATACCTAGATGTTAGAAGTTGGTGTCTTGTTCCTTTTGTTAGAAGGTAATTAAACCTCACACTCAACCTCTGCCTTGGAAAAGAAAATTATGCTGAAGCAGTTAATGTGCAGATTTGTTTGAACAAATGGCATACCATTCCCCACCACCTCTTGGAACAAACTTAATAGGTGTCTTATGCATGTATCAGGCACGTAAGTATTGATGCTTTAATAACAATCACAGTGATAAAGCTACACTTAATTAAACACCAGGTGTTAAAGTTACTTTGTTAACATGCATGGTGTGTGTATTCTACTGTTACTCACTGTCTTTCATTTGTATATGAGCTTAGTGCCATAAACATATTTAGTGAACAAGCAGAACCCATGATGGGAAAAGAAGGAAATAAAGAGGCTTTTACTTCTTTATTTTAATACAACGTTTGACCTAGATAGAAGAAAGAATAAAAGGCTAAGTTGAGAAGAAATCAAAACTATAAAAAAAAAAAAACAGTTTAATAAAAAGTAATACCTAGGCTGGTTTCATTGAAACAAGATTGATGGAAATATTTAACTCAAATTTTGTCTAATATGAATTCTTTTTAACTTACACATATATATTTTTTCTAGTTGTAGTAATTTATTTTTTCCATTTTTTGGATTAGTCCACATGACAGGTGGGATCTTTGTTCCCCAACCAGGGATTGAACCTGAGCCCCCTGCATTGGAAACCCAGAGTCACTGGATATCAAGGGACATCCTCTTAACTTACATATATTTTTAAAAATTTTTTATCTTCATCTTGGAGAGTCTAATATCAAATACCTCTCAATAGGTGCAATGAATTAAAATTTCATCTGTAGTAATCTGCACAACTTCTGAAGAAATATTAAGAAATTGAGAACATTAACTTTATATTTTAAATGCTAATAAAAAATCAGCCAATAAACAGAGTAATGTAAAATAAAAAATAAAAGGATATTTTAATTTCGGTCTTTGTAGTTTTCTTGGACATAACACAATTTTAGTCTTACTTTCAAATAGTCTTCAAAAAATTAATTATTTAGGGCTTTTTAAAACAATCTATGGTTAAAAGCATCATAAGGGCAATACAGCTTTTAGACTGTAAGAATTCTTACCACCTCTATGAAAAAAGCAAAGCCAGTCCCATTTCTTACAATGCCAACGTTGTAGTAATAGAGTTTGCCAGGTAAAATTAATAATGTCATTGTATTATTTTCTAGTTAAAATGGACACGAGTAAGTAAAATTTAAAAAGAGAGAGAGAAAGGGAGAAATCTGATACTACTAATTGATTCTGGCCTCTACTAATTTTCAAGTGTCTCAGGTTAATCAACTAACACACATTTATTGGGTAGGCCAAAACGTTCATTCGGGTTTTTCCATTAACATCTTATAGCAACATCCATAGTTTCTGACAAAAACAAATCTTCTATTCCTTTCTCTATTATTTAACAAATTAAAGTACCAGACCTGGCATGTGTGAAGACTTTAATAAACGAAGTTCCTGGAAATGACAGGAAATATTTGTTTTTAAAAGCTGTTTATCAATTTAATTTTTTTAACAACTGAAGATGACTTTCTTTTAGAATATATAATCTATCTTTTAAGTAATGCAAAGAAGAAATTCAACATGTAATACTGTTAATGTCAATTTTGTGATTTCAAATAAGTTGTTCTTATTTTTTTAAGTTCCATAAAGAACTAGTGTTCCCTGCTAGTTGCTGTGAAATGTTTAAATAAACACTGTCTATGTGATGTGTCTTTTTCTTTCACTGTTTTAACACTGTTTGAAGTTAATTAGTCCATATGACTAATTACAAACACACACACAGGCACTGTTGTTTTTAAGCTTGTTCTCACACATGAAAAGAACTGAACTCTTGGCCTTGTGCAGTGCACAACCTACCCGAGTGTACATGGCCAGCCTGTTAATTCTAGACATAATCATTTTACGATTATTATTTCAAGCAAAATTGTGATGCTATAACTAAGTCCCTTTTGGTCAAGGCCATACTTTAGATACATTACCTATATTGTGAAATGCCACAAAAGAGAACCCGGGGCTCATAGCAACAGAGGCAGAATAAACGCCTCAGTGAGATTCCAAGAGCATTAGTCATTTGAAAGCTTGTGCTTGTTCAGGACAAAGCAAGGGCAAGCTCAGTGCTCCTGACACACAAGGACAGGAGCAGGCAAAAGGCTGACACCAGGGTCTAATATTTAAGAACAAATGACAGCTCTTAAAATGCGCCGTAGCTCTGAAATGCTCAAGAAAATATGAGAGTCCTTTTCCAAGCCTATTTCTTGATGTTTCTTCTTTAAAAGAACCAATTCAAGCAAAATTGTGATGCTATAACTAAGTCCCTTTTGGTCAAGGCCATACTTTAGATACATTACCTATATTGTGAAATGCCACAAAAGAGAACACGGGGCTCATAGCAACAGAGGCAGAATAAACGCCTCAGTGAGATTCCAAGAGCATTAGTCATTTGACAGCTTGTGCTTGTTCAGGACAAAGCAAGGGCAAGCTCAGGACTCCTGACACACAAGGACAGGAGCAGGCAAAAGGCTGACACCAGGGTCTGATATTTAAGAACAAACGACAGCTCTTAAAATGCGCCATAGCTCTGAAATGCTCAAGAAAATATGAGAGTCCTTTTCCAAGCCTATTTCTTGATGTTTCTTCTTTAAAAGAACCACGATCTCTGGAGCTTTTGATTAAAGAAGGGTGGAATCAGACTTTTTAATTCACTCTGATTTCACCTCCAAAGGGACACCCAAGTTCCCTTTTATCCCCCGTAGACTCACATCAAGCCAGAAGGCAAAAAGAGTCGAGTGAATCTGAAGAGCTCTTGTCGAAATTGACATATACTTATGTGCTCAACTATACTGTTAAAAAAAATAGCAAGAACAGAAAGCAATGGTATTTATCAGCCATGGGATAAGTCAAAAGAATTTTTAGAAAAAAAAATAATAAGTTTAAACAGTGTAACATGGAACATACACAACTCTTCCTGTCATATGGAATAACTCTTAAGTCAAGCATCAGATAGGCATACTTCAAAGACCCCACCCACTGTGTGTCTGCATTTGCTCACATCTCTAGGGTGTGGTGGCTCAGAGGGTAAAAAATCTGCCTGCAATGTGGGAGACTGGGGAAGATCCCCTGGAGAAGGAAATGACAACCCACTCCAGTATTCTTGCCTGGAGAATCCCATGGGCAGAGGAGCCTGGTGGGCTATACAGTTCACGG